ATTCCATCACCATTGTCTTCAACTCACTGTCCCCTAGGCTTCCCATCAAACCTTTTGAGTTGCTGTTGTCAATTTGATCTCACATAGATAATTCTTCCTTTTTTGTACCTTAGATGAAAGTTTGTAGAACAAATAGTTTCTCATTAAACAGTTAGTACACATATTGCCCTATAACAATGGTTAACCCCATGACATGTCAACACTGTCCCTTCTCAACCTTGGGTTCCCTGTTACCAGTTTTCCTGTCCCCTCCTGCTGTTTGCCATTTTTAAAACTAAGGTAAAAAATTATTTAAAATAACAGGGAAAGTATCTACATTTTAAATTTTTATTTTGAATACAGAATTGATTTTAAAATACACACACAGACATAATATACACTTAAAAAATTGATTTTGACACAAAAAGATTTACAACATTTCCAATAATTACACCGAGGGCCGAGCAAGTCTTTGAGTTCAGATAGCTGTAGAAACCAAAACCAAGTCGAGTTCTGTGATTCTCCAGGCCTGAGGTTCCTGTAGGGGTCTACTCTGTGCTAGGCCCTGAGAACAAAAAGATAAAAGATGGGTCCTGGAGAAAGTTGTGGCCCAGTGAGGGAGAGAGGCCTGGACATGGGGAATTTCATATAATATGGTAAATTCAGCAGTAGTGTATGGGGGGCAGCAGTGTTTCAGGGGCATAAATGAAGGGTTCTTAGCGCACCTATTCTAGGGATTTCAGGAAAAGTTTCTCAAAGGTAAGTCTTTATGAATGTGGATGAAGGGAAGGAGCCATTGGGCTGAAAGCCTTGAATTCTTTACCAGGGACTTTGCGTGGAGCCCATAGGTGCACTTATACTTGCTGGGCAGCCGTTCAAGGAATTCCACTGATTTAGGAGAGCGGTGATTGCTTCTCTTTCCTCAATTAATGGAACCGAACTCCATGACATTGCGGTCTTTGAATGCCTGTCGTCGCTACTCCCCACCTCCACCCTACCTTTGGTAAAGTGAAGATGCTACGGAGAATTTGGAAAGACCATGTTCCTCTAGAATAGGGTGAAAGGAGAGTTGTCTTCCTGGAAATGGTCTCATGCAAGCTTTCTTAAAAATATTCTTTAGAAAAATATACAGTTAGTCTTCCATATCCATGGGTTCCTCATCCACAGATTCAACCAACTGTGGATCGAAACTATTCTGGGGGGAAAAAAAGCTTTTTTGGGGTCATTATTTCCTAAACAATACAGTATAACAACTATTTACATAGCATTTGCATTGTATTTGGTATTATAAGTAATCTAGAGATGATTTAAAGTATATGGGAGGATGTGAGAAGGTTATATGCAAATACTGCACCATTTTATATAAGGGACTTGAGCATCCTCGGATGTTGGTATCTGAGGGGTGGTCCTGAAACCAATCCCCCGTGAATACAGAGGGATGACGATATTTGATTTCAAAGGCTTGTTTCCCAACCTCTCTCTTTCAGTGCCCGAAGTGACGAAACCAAGTTTAAGCCAACCAACGGCCGCCAGCCCAACTGGCAGCTCTCCATCGCCACCAGTCAATGGTGGCAACAATGCCAAAAGGGTGGCAGTGCCGAACGGACAACCGCCAAGCGCCGCCCGCTACATGCCTCGGGAGGTGCCGCCGCGATTCCGTTGCCAGCAGGACCACAAAGTGTTACTAAAACGTGGGCAGCCCCCTCCACCGTCCTGCATGCTCCTTGGGGGTGGGGCAGGGCCTCCTCCCTCCACAGCACCTGGAGCAAACCCCAGCAACGCACAAGTGACAGGAACACTGCTGCAGAGTGAGAGTGGGACTGCACCAGGTACGGCATCAGTGTTGCTGAAGCGGGTTCACAGCAGCTTTTGAGAGAGAGCACTGCCCCAAAGTCAGACACTTGTACTGCCTGGTGTAAAGCACCCAAAAATCGTTAATGATGTAGGATGTTGGGATTATTCAAAAGAGGGGAGAGGACCCCAGTAGGTAATGTGTGTAGGCATTTCTCTTCTGAAACTGGATCTTACTGTTCTGTAAGTGTGTGCTCTTGGCATGAGAGGCTTATGGAGCTGCTGTTTGTCATCACCCTTTAGGGCTTTTTTTTTTCTTGTCTCAAACGAGTGGTACTGCTTCAAGCCGCCATAGTTCCAGCTGTTACCACAAGTATGTGCTCAGGATATGACTGGAAGCTGGCTGTCCTAGAGGCTTTTTCTGGATCTTCAGATGCCCATGTTTATGTTTCTAGAATGCTGGGAGTATAGAAAGAATGGTCTCTTAAATAACAATAATAGAATCTTGGCACATTACCAAATAATAGTCTAATAGGATATGTTATTAGAATATATATATTCTGTATAGTTTATTAGATTTTTCACATCAGTATTTCTTTAGAGGACCCTAGATTATGACCTTTGTTTTATCAGGGTAAAAACTGTATGTAGAAATAAGGGATCGTTAGCTGAGGGATTCTTCTAGACATTTTTAGAGTTTTCAATAGATGAGTATTAAATCAGTGAAGAAGTTTCCAAATAACCTTTATTTTATTAGCTTATTAATACATTTCAGCTTATCTCTTAGAATGGTTTTTGAGCCCATGTTAAAATTCAGAGCTTGAACACCATCAAAAGTTGGCAAGAACAGTGGATTGGTGATTGTTACAAATAGGATGCTTTATTCTAGTTCTGAGTTTGAACATAGACTTGCGTAGAAAACTCTTGTCACCGCCTCATCATGTGGAGAGTAAGGGTGGAAAGAAGCTGCACGGTGACACCAGCTTCATGCAGAGATGAGCCCTATCCGAGAGGCTTACCTGTGGAGGCTGTCAGGCCAGGCCTAAAGAGGGCAGGGGGCGGCCTCATGGCCCTCCCTTTCTGGCTCCTTGTAACCATTGGTGAAAGGAAGTATGTGAGGGGGTGGTCACATCAGGTGTTTCTTCAGCTGAGTAGAGCCAGACCTCAAGGTAGACATCAGTGCAGTGTGAGTCAGAGCCTCCTGTTTACATAATTAAAACCAAGGAGGGGTCCCTATTTCAAGAGTTTGGGATTCTATGCTTTCTTTTTATATGGCTTTATGTTGATTTAAAACTGCTTGGTTAAGGAGCTAAAGTGAGTTTAGAAGAAATAATTTAGTAAAAACTTGTCATTCCCCTCTTTCCCCCTACTGTATGTGGTAAACATGTGCTGACCTCTTAATCTGAGCTTTATCAGAGTAAGTCCCTTCAGGATGTGATTGTTATTAGAGTCATGCTTGTTTGCCCCCAGCACCAAGCTCAGGGGGCAGTCATCATTCACCAGGTATTTCCTGAGCAGCACGGCACTGGCCACTGTGTGGAATTGAAATGTTAGTAAACTATGGTCTCTTTCCTGTAAGGTGCTAACATGGGGGGGTGGGAAACACAAACACAGTGACTGTGCCTATGAGCAAACTGATTCCAGACGGGGAACAATTATTTTTGGGTCATGAGTCCAAAAAAGCTTCATAGAAGAAATGGCGCTTGAATTAGACACAGAAAGATGAGTAAAATTTCAGTGCGTGAACTCAGGAGGAAAATGCAGTAAGTGCCACTGTGGCATGGTGCCAAGGTGAGAAGGCACAAGTTGTGGTGGAATGTCAAGTAGCGTGGGATGTAGTCGTATTCATGGAAAGTAATGGAAGATAAAGACTGGAAAGGTTAGTTGGTTCCAGATCGTGGAGCATCTTGATCAGATACTAAGCCAAGAAGATTAGCTTTATTCGTATATACTGAGAAACTGTTGAAGGCTTTACACAGCAGTGATACAAACAAAGGTGTGCTGTAGAAAAATTACCCCAGCCGTGAGTGTTTAAAATAGGTCGGAGATAGGGAGCAAGTTTAGGGTGTTAGGGCAATTGTCTCAAGATAAAAGAAAGCCCTTCTCTGTCATTTGGAATGGCAAGGAAGTAGGCTTAAGAGATGTTGTGGAGTTAGACTTAGCAAAATATAACAGCCAGATAAAATGAAAGAGGAGAGTTGTCATATAGTTAACCAAGACAGGCAGCTGGGCAGGGAAGCTGGTTTGTGGGGAAATGGATGAGCTCTCTCACTTTGAGCTTGAGGTGTTTGTGGATCCTCCATGTGTGGCTGTGACTGATGAAACTATCTCTTTTTCAGATTCAACCCTTGGAGGTGCTGCTGCTTCAAATTATGCAAATTCCACTTGGGGCCCGGGAGCCTCCTCCAACAACGGCGCCTCCTCCAACCCAATTCACATCTGGGACAAGGTGATTGTAGACGGGTCTGACATGGAAGAGTGGCCTTGTATTGCCAGCAAAGACACTGAGTCTTCTTCTGAAAATACCACCGATAACAACAGTGCCTCGAACCCTGGCTCTGAGAAGAGCGCTCTGCCAGGAAGCACCACTAGTAACAAAGGAAAAGGGAGCCAGTGCCAGTCTGCAAGTTCCGGGAGCGAATGTAATCTTGGGGTCTGGAAGTCTGACCCCAAGTCTAAATCTGTTCAATCTTCCAGCTCTACTACAGAGAGCAGCAATGGACTAGGAAATTGGAGGAATGCGAGTGGTCAGGATAGAATTGGACCTGGGTCTGGCTTCAGCAACTTTAACCCAAATAGCAACCCATCTGCCTGGCCAGCGCTGGTCCAAGACGGAAATTCTAGGAAAGGGGCATTGGAAACGGATAATAGTAATTCCAGTGCACAGGTTAGCACAGGAGGTCAGGCATCCAGGGAACAGCAGTCAAAGATGGAAAATGCGGGTGTTAATTTTGTTGTCTCTGGCAGAGAACAGGCTCAAATTCATAACACTGATGGACCAAAAAATGGAAACACTAACTCCTTGAACTTAAGTTCACCAAACCCCATGGAGAGTAAGGGAATGCCCTTTGGAATGGGCTTGGGGAACGCCTCCAGGAGCACTGATGCCCCTTCACAAAGCACTGGAGATCGAAAGACTGGGAGTGTTGGATCTTGGGGTGCAGCTAGGGGGCCTTCTGGAACTGACACAGTCTCTGGACAAAGCAATTCTGGAAACAATGGGAACAATGGAAAGGATCGAGAGGACTCCTGGAAAGGAGCTTCTGTTCAGAAATCAACTGGGTCAAAAAATGACTCTTGGGATAACAATAACAGGTCTACGGGTGGGTCCTGGAACTTTGGCCCTCAGGACTCTAATGACAATAAATGGGGTGAAGGGAACAAAATGACATCTGAGGTCTCTCAGGGAGAATGGAAACAGCCGACTGGGTCTGATGAGTTGAAAATTGGAGAATGGAGTGGTCCAAACCAACCAAATTCTAGCACTGGAGCATGGGACAATCAAAAGGGCCACCCCCTCCCTGAAAACCAAGGCAATGCCCAGGCTCCCTGTTGGGGAAGATCTTCCAGCTCCACAGGAAGTGAAGTTGGAGGTCAAAGCACTGGAAGCAACCACAAAGCAGGAAGTAGTGACAGTCATAATTCTGGCCGCCGGTCATACAGGCCCACGCACCCTGATTGTCAGGCGGTCTTGCAGACTCTTTTGAGCCGAACTGATTTGGACCCCAGGGTGCTTTCAAACACTGGCTGGGGCCAAACTCAAATTAAGCAGGATACAATGTGGGATATTGAAGAGGTGCCAAGGCCTGAGGGGAAATCTGACAAAGGAACTGAGGGGTGGGAGAGCGCTGCCACACAGACCAAGAACTCAGGGGGCTGGGGAGATGCACCCAGCCAAAGCAATCAAACGAAGTCTGGATGGGGGGAGCTCTCAGCCTCAACAGAGTGGAAAGACCCCAAGAACACAGGGGGCTGGAATGACTATAAGAACAACAACTCTTCCAACTGGGGAGGCGGACGACCAGATGAAAAGACATCTTCCTCTTGGAATGAGAATTCCAGCAAGGATCAAGGGTGGGGAGGTGGACGCCAGCCCAATCAAGGATGGACTTCTGGAAAGAATGGTTGGGGAGAGGAAGTTGATCAAGCAAAAAACAGCAATTGGGAAAGTTCTGCAAGTAAAGCTGTGTCTGGGTGGGGTGAAGGGGGGCAGAATGAAATTGGAACTTGGAGCAATGGTGGCAATGCAAACATAACTTCAAAAGGTGGATGGGAAGATTGCAAAAGATCTCCAGCATGGAATGAGACAGGCCGACAGCCCAACTCCTGGAGTAAACCGCACCAACAGCAGCAGCAGCCACAGCAGCCACCGCCACCACAACCAGAGGCTTCTGGTTCATGGGGAGGCCCACCTCCACCCCCTCCAGGCAATGGACGACCTTCCAATTCCAACTGGAGCAGCGGGCCACAGCCAGCAACCCCCAAGGATGAGGAACCCAGTGGTTGGGAAGAGCCATCTCCACAGTCAATTAGTCGGAAAATGGACATCGACGATGGCACTTCAGCATGGGGAGACCCTAACAGTTACAACTACAAGAATGTGAATCTGTGGGATAAGAATTCCCAAGGGGGCCCAGCACCTCGAGAACCAAACCTGCCTACCCCGATGACCGGAAAATCAGCATCAGGTGAGCAATGGCTTTTTCTCGGATGTTTTGATGAAGAAAAGAAATCCTTTTTACAAAACATTTGTATTAAGCTGCATTTATTCAACTAACTTCATTCTGAAAATCTTTATGACATTTTTGTTGTTAAAAAGAGCCTCTCTTTTTAAAATGAGAGTAATAGCAGATGGTGGGAGTACTATTTAATGTTCTTTCTTGTCAGGAGGAAAAGATGGCAAACCTATGTTATAGTGACCCTATAGGGCAGAGTAGAACTGCCCCCTAGGGTCTCCAAAGCTATAATCTTTACGGAAACACATTGCTACATCTTTCTCCCTTGGAGCGGTTGGTGGGTTCAAACCGCTGACCTTTCGATTAGCAGCTGAGCTTTTGCACCACCAGGGCCCCTCTAAACCCATGCTAGTCCTCAAAAATTATTTTTTGAAATTGTATTGGTCTGCAGAGTTCAGAAGTCTTTACATCTTGCTAAACAAACTATGCTCTAGATTTACAAGTAAAAACAAAATAGGAGCTAAAATGGACCTGATCCTCTGTTTCCCCAGCAAAGGGAAACGTACTGTATTTGTGTCCCTGGGTGGTGCAGAAGTCATCGCTGTCTGCTGCTAACCGAAAGGGTGGAGGTTTGAGTCTACCCAGAGGTGCCTTGGAAGAAAGGCCTGACAATATGCTCCTGAAAAATCCTCCATTGAAAATCCTATGGAGCACAGCTCTACTCTTACACATGGGGTCACCGTGAGTCAGAATCGACTTAACTTGACGCAGCTGATTTTGGTTCTTCCAGAGGCCATCAGAATGCTGCAGCAAAGCTGGTATCTGGGATGTTTCAGCCACTTTCTAGAGAGTTTTTCGTGATTGTCTCTGGAAGTGGAATACTTTGTGTAAGAGATTGTACTTATGACAATCAGTTGCCCAGAATTAACTGAAATCCAAAAGAGGGTTGTAGAAAGGTGTAATCTTTAACACTGCAGGTTGTGTATTTGCTCGTGTGTAAAATTTTCTTCCCTCTCTATTTGAATAGGAAACATCAGCCTTGGTAAATTAAAAGTATACTGGTAATGTCATGCATCATTGTTAATTGGTTTAGTGTTGTCAACTTGAATGTCCTTATAAAGCATGTAGATGTAGTTCAACAAATTAAGGGTGTTTACCTTTTAAGCCTTTTTTTTTTTTTTAAGTCAAAGTTAATTAAAATATTAATAGTTTGTCCACTCCCCAGAATAAGCCTGTCTGGGTCTAGTGTTCAGTGAATCCAGTTGTGGCCACTTAGCAAATGATTATTTTAACCACTTCTTTTTTTAAATACTGAAAAGAACGAGGAAACCTATGAAGACTGCCTGTTAACCCCTTATCTAGAATATAACCTCACGTTTATTTAAAAAATCATACACATTTATAAAAACCTTCAAACTATACAGAAAAGCAAAAAGTAATAAAAGAATCTCAGCCCCTAGACTTTGTCCCCACAGGTAATCTCTTAGAAGTTAGTGTCTCATTCAGAAAATTTTTTTCATACCTATAGCAAGATATTTTATATCTGTCCTTTTTAAAATTTTACACAGAGGAGATGGTACTTCATATACACTTTTCTTCACCTTGCTTTTTTTGCTATGTACATATATATATGCACTTTCTGTATCAGCACAGGTAATTCTTCTTTTAATTACTTCATTTGTGGTATTCATTATGGGATGACACATAGTTGATCTAACTAATCCCCTTTTGGAGCCCTGGTGGCACAGTGGTTAAGAGCTCGGCTGCTAACCAAAAAGCTCGGCAGTTCAAATCCACCATCCGCTCCTTGGAAACCCCATGAGACAGTTCTACTCTGTCCTGTAGGGTTGCTATGAGTCAAAATCGACTTGACAGCACTTAACAACAACAACAGTTCCCGTTTGATAAACATGTAGGTTGCTTCCAAATATTTGTCTAAGAGTGATGCAGTGAGCATTGTCATACGTGTAATTTCATCTACTTTTACTAGTATGACTGTGGTATAATTTCTTGGCAGTGGAATTAACTAGGTCAGAAGTTATGTGCATCAGTTTTTTTTTTAAGTGACATTGCCAAGTGCCCTCCATGAAGGTTGAGCCAGTTTCTATTCCTGCAAACAGAGTATAGGAGTGCCTCTTCCCTGCTTCACTCCCACTGGATATTACGGTGTTTGATTTAACAAATTGTTCTTAGAGACACATTTCCTTTCTTTATAGTCTGGAGCAAAAGCACACCACCTGCTCCAGATAATGGTACTTCAGCTTGGGGTGAGCCAAATGAAAGCAGTCCTGGGTGGGGCGAAATGGATGATACAGGAGCACCGACCACAGGCTGGGGGAACGCACCCTCCAATGCTCCAAATGCCATGAAACCTAGTGAGTATGCAGTGTTTTTACTTTCCAGAGATTCTCTGTTAACTGGAGGGTCAGACATTTTGGCGAGGGCTGTTTAGCGTTTAAATTGTTGTTCCAACGAGATTCAGGACCTTGGACGTTAAATAAATGGTTAACAGGAAGTGGTGGTAAGTGACTTGACTTGGAATATGTTAAACTATTTACAGTTTTGGTGATTTCATTTTAAATTAGGTTTAATATCTGGCCAGAATTGAGGTTGTGATGAGATGCTTTGAGTCCCCTGGCTTTTACTGTGGAGTGAGGTCTTCACTGCCCAGTGGTGTCATCCTTCCTTCTCTTCCCTGCTTTTCTGCTTGTCCCTCTTCTCATACGTCCACCCACCTCGGAACGTTGAGGGTTTTTTGAACCCAAAACAGATTTCTTCGTTTGAATTTTTAAACGGAGCATGTCATGCTTATTCATAATCATTGAAAATCGGAGCTATACTTGATGCAGCTCGTGATGTGCAGTCAGAGTCATTTGCCACGCTTTGTAAACTGGTGCTGTGGAGTGTCTCATTGGGTGTTCCTAAATTGAGAAATTCCATTTCAAGTGCCTATTTTCACTTGCTTGTAGCTTTCCCAAAAATATTCGTGTCTGTTTTCTACCATATAGCAAATATAAGGGGTTATCTTTTGATTAAATGATGCAGTCATACTGAATGGTTAAAATTTGAACGAGAATAGAATGGTTAAAATTTGAACGAGAATAAAAATTCCATTGGAAACTTTGTTGTATGATGTTCAGGACTCTTAGTGCTGCATGAAAGAATATGAGCTTGTCTATATTCGAGAAATTCACACTTGTGCCTAGGTAACTTGACTTGTTTTTAAAAAATATCCTCCACTTCACAGAAATAGCTCTGTAAAGATTTTGTTTTCATCATGATTTTCGTTAAAAAATTGGTTGTATCATCATGGGAAATATCATCGAGTAGACTTGAAGTAGATCCAAAATGCTGTTGGAAGACATTAACCGGACCCTTAGCACAAAGAGGTACTTCAGCTGTACCTGCAGGATTTTTATGCGTCTTTCCCAACCTTGGAGTTACCTTTCTTCCATCACAAAACCCTCATATTTTTCCAGATTCTGAAAACAACTTTTGCTCTTCAGAATCTTCTATAGCTATAGCTCACGTCCTTTCTCTGGGTAATGTGAATGTATGATGCACAAAGGAAGGAGCTAAATCATCACAGCTTAGCAGTTGATGCTGGTAGTTAACCTGTGACATTCTCTAGTCTAAAAATGCCTTAAATTTGATGTTACGGGTCCTATGATTAAAAATCAGAGCTCTCTTTTTTTATTTTTTCTGTAAGAAAACATTTATTCAAAGTTCAGCTCCTTTCTCTAAAAGGTTACCTGGATGTCTTCATTTTTATAAGGGGGTCCATATGTTATTTATATTGAGTTTTTGATTCCTATTGCTTGCCAGTGGATAGCATAAAGCCTATGTTTACATAATATAAATCAGCCATATAAATTTATCATCCCTTATGCAGAGGAAACAGTCGTGGGTATTGATTCAATTCTAGCAGCAGGGAGAACAGCATCCCAGCCCTGCCTCTTGCTGCCTGTCTAGAAAGCCTCTTCTTGTGTCTACGATGAACCCCATGGAAGAGCCCTCAGATTCTCTTGGGCCTTGCTAGGGGGTGAGATGCCACAGTTAGAAGAAATCAACCATCCTGTGCCTTGTGGCACTTTGTGGGAGTCTGTGACTGACATGTCGATAGCCTGGTCCTAGGGAGTGGTAGCAATCATCTGAGGAAAAGGCTGGAAGAGCCATTTTTTGGCTGGAGACTCTTCATATAAAGCTATCTAAATTAAATGGCTACCCCTTCCACAAACATTGTCTTGTTTGGTAAAGTGAAGATGTGGATGGAAGCTTCTGGGCACGATGATGTATTTTCCCTTTTTCCATTATTTTATACAGCATCATTATTGCCAAATGTATCCTTGAATGCCCTGCAGTATGTTCGGAGAGAAATTAAGGATTTATCCCAGTCTTCAAATTAAAGACTTTACTTAGATGGGGATGTTGGTAGAATAGACTGAATACTAATGTCCTCCTTCGTTGAACACTAGAGCCCTCTTTGATTTCTCCCTGTCTTCCCTCCTCCCTTCCCCTCTCTGTCCTCCACATCTCCTTCTTCCGTCTTTTAAAAAACTATTGCTTACATACTGTCTTTGCCTAAGATCTCTTTAGTATATATTTCAAGTATAGCGATTTAAGAAGTTTCAAGTTTCCATGGCTACACATGAATTTCTCTTCTTTCATCATACATTTGATAATCATAAAGTTTTCTCTTTTATTGCCTTTTTCTTCTCCACTTTATCCCAAACAATGTAGACAGTTGTCCTTTATCATATGTCATATTTGTATTGTGCATCATATGTAAAGAACATGCTGTACTTTAGGAAGAGTAAAAGCTAGGACTATAGTAAACCATGTTCATTAAGGTTTGTTTTAATTGAGATGCGAAATTTCTTATAAATATTGATAAATTCTTCCCAATTTTGGAGTTCTTATCAAATTGGCGTAGGAGAAAAGGCGTTGAACCAGAAGTCAGGAAGTCTTGATTTTATGGTTAACATACTCTTTTGTCATTGAACCTTTATGGGTTTCAATTTCCTGAAATGTGAATAATAATATTTGCCTTGCCATGTAGATGAAGTAGATAAAATAATAAAAATACTAAAATGCTGCACCTGTAAGGAATTATTATTGTGGTTACTGCTTAATATAGCTACTGCATACAATCAATTTCTTCTTTTCTTAAAGATTCCAAATCTATGCAAGACGGCTGGGGGGAGAGTGACGGGTCAGTGACAGGAACTCGCCATCCCAGCTGGGAAGAGGAGGATGATGGAGGAGTCTGGAACACCGCCGGCTCTCAGGGAAGTGCTTCCTCCCACAACTCAGCAAGCTGGGGACAAGGAGGAAAGAAACAAATGAAGGTAGTCTGCTTTACAAATGATTGAGCTTTCTTATTCATTCTTAGAAGGCAGAGCTGAGATTTTTTTCATGGAAGGCGTGGGCTAGCTAGAGTCCTCAGAGGGGGCTAAGTAAGGGGGAAAATATATTTTCTTAAAAACAAATAACTACTCCCTCTTTCTCCTCCACATAATAATTCTTTGGAAGTTATCAAGGCACACTTTATAAATGCTTTGTGCTTTTTCATTCGAAAGCCAAAGCAGTTCTTACAGTAAATCTGCATGAATATGTAAAAGAGAAACCAAAGTAAGATAATACTGGCTTCTCTAGTGGCAATCAGCATAACTGGATTTTTTCTGATTCAGGAAATTCCAAGACTCAGAACCTTTCTCCCAACAAACTGAAGTACCAGTGTGTAATCTGGCTGCAGGAACTAGGTGGTTTTTCTACATCCTGTACCACGCTGTGTTGTAAACTTGTCACTCTCCATATCTTAGAACAACTTGGCTTCCCCTTTGGTCTGCATAATTTGATGAGGACTTTTTAATCGAAGTTTTCATCTTAGTTTTTAATCTAGAACAATAGTCTTTGAAGTACTTTCTTGGCAGAAGCATTCCTTTTCATTCCAGCCTTTTAGTTCACAGACAAATGAGTGTAAATAATGGGCAGCCATATACTTAATTTCAACATGGGCGCTCCGCTGCCCTGTGAAATGCGTCTGTTCTAACAGCTACTATTCTCCCAGGTTTCAAATGCCACAGGCTGTCTTGAAAGGGCCTTCAGGTGGCTAAGGGTTGTGCATTCATACCCTTTTCCTAAAGGATATTCATTTTGTTCTGAATACCCTAATTTTCTTTTGGAGCCCCTCTCAGTTGCAAATGATTAACTCACTCTGCTGCTAACCAAAAGGCTGGAGGTTCAAGTCTAACCAGAGGCTCCTCGGAAGAAAGGCCTGAGGATCTACTTCCAAAAACTCAGCCATTGAAAACCCTGTGAAGCACAGTTCTATTCTGACACATGGGGTTGCTGTGAGTCAGAATTGACTCAACAGCAACTGGTTTTTAAACTGTTTTAGAGTTCTACTAGAGACCTTTTGTTTAAGCAGTCATTTACAGTTTCCTCTCTTTTAAGGACTTTTATTTCATTACTCTAGTCACAAAAGGAATTATTCAGTGAACTTTTCCTTTTTAGAATTTTTGGTGCTGTTATGTTGTCTAGTCTGCTTTTGGTCATTTACAAGTTAACAGTGAGACCAAATTAAATGAAAGTTCAGAATACTGATGACTGAAAGGGAGCAACTGAGTGAAAAGTACTGAATACCGCACTCAGATTTAACAACCAAGATTTAATTAATTGAGGTAATTGGGAAGTGAATGCTTCAGCTCTGTGACCAGTGAGTCTAGCCTTTCATGCTGAGAGCTTTTTTGACCTGAAAATCTGTTACTGAACTTAAAATTAGTACCTCATCATTTTAAGAATAATAAAATTGACATAACAAATACCATCACAGCACAAACAGAATTTTTACCTATAGAATGTACAAGTGCACAAGGCCCCAGCATCCCCTTCCCCACACTTCCTGTCATAGTTCCACCTGCCTTTCCACCCCTGCATGTCCTCTGGCATAGTTCCACCTACCCTTCCTTTCTGCAGAAGTAGGAGTAGGGCTGAGGATTGGTGCGTTGTTCGTGGGAGAAACTAGTTTGTCCCACCCAAAAGCAAGCAAACAAAAAACCCAACCACCTCTCCCTCACTTTGCCCGGGAGGTTGATGATGTGTCTTTCATGGTCTCTTTTCCCACTGGGGACCAATGTCCTTTATACTATAAAAATAAATGGACAAAAGTGCTACATGAATGAGTTCCTCATTGCATCGAACAGAGAGGATAATGACAAGTTTAAATAGGCCCCTCTTCGAATAGCATGCAGTGTCATCAGACTCTTTTTTCCTGACATAAACTAGCTTGGGTTACAAGGAGAAGAGCCTGCTGAAAGGGAAAGCATTAACATACAAGAATGTTATTTTAGAAAATTCGGTATTGAGTTCCTTCTGTTTAAAAAGTAAAAACACTAGCTGACGGTATAGTTTTCCGGTTACTTCTAGTTGAATGATGAATAAAATAAGGATGAAAACATAGATATAACTAAGGCTTATTAATCATTTAAACCAACAGGTAAAACACCAAAATAACTAGTTAAAGAAGAGTAGTTCGGGTTCAAAAAGGTAAACTTTTGGTTCTGCACTTTCAGTCAGAGATGCAATTCAGATATGAGATTGAAATTGAATAATTTGGTTCTGAGGTTACACATTTCGTTTCTGTAGTGCTCACTAAAAGGAGGAAACAGTGATTCGTGGATGAATCCGCTTGCCAAACAGTTTTCAAATATGGGATTGCTGGTAAGTTTTATTTTTCATAAGTGTCATGTATCCCAACTTTTACTGTTTAGTACAGATTTAAGGCCACTGCCACATACAGTACAAAATTACAGATTTAGAAACTGGTTAAGCAGTGTTCTTCATCTTTTGGATTAAGCAGTATTTCTGCTCTATTCTTTTCTCTTCCCTTAGAAATACTCCCAGCATTTAAAGGTTATGGCTTTTGGATTGTAGTTGGTGTGTCCTGTTCCTTAGGAGGAAAAAGTCAGACGCTTAAAGTTTATGCTGTTTGTTCCCTGACCACTCTACCAGTTTTAGTATTATAATTTTATTATTATTTTTAAGGACAGCAGTGATTCAAAAACTAGAAAAAGATTTTGAGATTAACTACATGGGGAATTCTGTAGAATTTTTAGTTTATCTCTTGGCAGCATTGTTGGGGACACCCTGTCCCTGGTTGCCAAAAGATGAATGACTTGACTTGGCTGCACATTTCAAGATTTGACAACTTGACAAGTCATGCGAAAGAGTTGTCATCATTTGGCGGCCACTCATGGAATATGATCCTGGGTCAACTGGAACTTGAGGACAGGGACTTACTTGTCCAAGCAGCTGTTTAGCTATTGCTCTGTCCATAGATTTCCTGAGGCTAATTGTATGTGAAATTTGAATTTTAAGAATCCAGGCAAAAAGCAACCAAAACTAGTTGTATTAAAATTAAACAAACAATTCCATACTGATTGTAATAAAAGTAAGTCATTAAGGTGCCTGGGTGGCACAGATAGTTTCTACTCGGCTGGTAACCAAAAGGTTGGCAGTTTGAACCCACCCAGCAGCACCGAGGAAAAAACAGGCCAGGTGATCTGCTTCCGTAAAGACTGCAGCCAAGAAAACCGTATGGAACTAAGTTCTAGTCTGTAACACATGGCGTCTCTGTAAGTCACAAAAACAACAACAGCAGAAGTAAGTTACAGTCTTTGTTCCAGTTTAAGGTTCATTTCACAGTACCTTGTATAGTGCTGGTAGGAAGATGTGGCTCTCAAGAGAATAATGACACTTCTGTGATTCAAACATGTGCAGCTTTAATCCTCTCTCACCTGTTCTTTGTTTTTCAGAGTCAAACGGAAGATAATCCAAGCAGTAAAATGGATCTGTCTGTAGGTGTGTATTACACCATCGGTAGGAATATAATATATTGGTGTTAACAATATGCTGTCGGGATCCCTTGTTCAGTTTGAGCTGGGATGGGTGCAATTCAAGAGTCATTTTTGAACACTTATCTGTGGAAGGTACTGTGCTAGACACTAGGGTAGAGGTTGAAAACTCAACTGTAAGAGCCAGGAAAATCATGTCAGTGAGCGATGGGTGCCAGGTATGAGAACATGGAGGGAGGTGGAGGGCTCTGGTGAGCAGTGGGGAGCATCTGGGCCACCTCAAGGAATCAGCCTTGCTCTGCTCTTAGAGGAAATGCAGTCCCAGCATTGCCACGTCTTCCCGTTTTTCAAAAGAGGCCTGATCTGTAAATATTGGAAACTAATTCAGATTTGTTAAATGTTGTGTGAGGCCAAACAAAGTATGTGCATGGCCCTGCCAGGCACAGCCCTCAGGCTGACAGCTCTGGCTGCACTAGGGTGTTTCATGATCGACAGACCCTCCCCCAATGAGTGGTAGGGACACAGTGCCAGCCCTTAGACTGGGAGTTTCACAATGATGCTGCCACTCGCCCTGAGGACCTTAAGAAGAATCAAACCAGGAAGAAAAGAAAACAGCCCTGGGCAGTTAAGGGAAAACCTACAGTCTTTGATCCTGGATATTTTTTAATATGAGAATAACCAACAGATAGACTGCCCGGGGCACTGATCGTGGCAGCATACAATAGCAAATTGAGAGTGCTGAGAAAGGAAGGGGATGATTGTATTTGGGAAACTCCATCGTACAGTGAATACATCATCTCTTGGGTTTGACTCTTGTTTTAAAAGTTCTAAATTTTAGTTCAAGGTCCGTGTCTCTTTCATCTCTTTATTCCCAATAAATATTTAAAAAGGAGCCCTGTTGGCACAGTGGTTAAGCGCTTGCCTGCTAACTGAAAGGTTGGCAGATCGAACCCACCAGCCACTCTGCAGGAGAAAAATGTGGCAGTCTGCTTCCGTAAAGATTTACAGCCCTGAAAACCCTATGGGGCAGTTCTACTCTGTTCTGTAGGGTCGCCATGAGTCGGAATTGACTCGACAGCAACAGGTTTGTTTTGTTTTTAAATGTTTCACAACCCCGACTGACCATTCAGCAGATGCTAAAAATAGCAAAAATAGACAAATTATCTTTACTGAGGAGTTCTGAATTTATGAGCACATCAGTAATCAGTATCAGTTTTTTTAGTCATATTTTTTCCAGATTAGCCCAAAGGCTCTTTTCCAGTTTTCTATGGAAGACATACCACAAGAGAAACACATTTGCGGAGGGTGGGGGAACCCACAAGTGTCCCGGGGGGATACAGCATCAGCCTGAACCAATAAGAGCTCTTACTGTCTCATCCCTAGAGAGTAGAAAAAGCTACCTGGCACCCCAGGGAGGATAGTGGGGCAGGTCACTCTTGGTCATGAGGGAGATGTTGGTTCTTGAAATTTGTGCTCTTTTTGTTTTGTTTTTCCTTCCAGATAAAAAATTTGATGTGGACAAGCGAGCAGTGAATCTCGGGGATTTTAATGATATCATGAGGAAGGATCGATCTGGGTTCCGTCCACCTAATTCCAAAGACATGGGAACCACTGATAGTGGGCCTTATTTTGAGAAGGTTAGTTGAATACTTTGTTTAAGGTTAGTAATTTGTGAGAACCACTTTGGTTCCCATTTGTCTTTTGATAATTGATTCCAGGAGAAAGCATAGAGTTACTGAACTAAATTGATGAGCAAAACACACACTTCACCGGCATTTAAGTGTTGATGTACAAACAGCTGATGTCAACAGGTGATGAGGCAGGAGTTAGAACCATCTGTCCTTAGAACGTGAGTATTGTGAAGAAGGGCTAAGTTTTGAAAAAATCCATGGCGGGGAGATGATCTGACTTTTTAAAGTGGGGAAGTACACACTCAAAACGTATAGATAAAATTTTCAGAGAGCAATTTATTCTGAATTGTATTTTCTGCTACTGTGCAGCTACAAATTAAAATTTGGGATTCTGTGCAAATGCCTGTGTGTTCTGAGGCCCTACCTTCTGGCTTTGAAGAGGTGACCTAAAACTTTCTCCTTTGCTATTTCTAAGAGAGCTCTTTTCTTATCTTTCCGCCCTTTTCCCACTGATCTGCCTTTAGTTACAGTGGTATGCTTTTCAAATTCTCAACTACCTGATTTAAACAAGTAATTGATACATACTGGTTTTGATTTTTAACATTTCTAATGGAGGAAATTACCTCTTGATTCAGAATGCCAGTTTGCAGTGCCCTTGGTCTTGGGAAAGCAGTTAAAACCAAAATTGTTAGACTCGGCACATTTTTGACACCACTAAGATGCTGATCCAGACACCATCATATTCACTAGAAGATTGCGCTGGCTTCTGTTTCCGCAGCGGCATAGTTCAGTAATCAGTATTAGATGTATAAAAATAAAGTGTCTGGCAATTTTCGTCTTCCTGCAGTGGACAGAGTGTGTTACTAAGAGGATAAGAAAAATCTCTATCAAAGTGAATGACAGATGCTGTCTGTTGGGCAAAGTGTGATGATGATGATCAGATCCGAATTCTGTCCTCGTTTATTGCTAATCCATCTAACTTTGTTTATTCTTAGTGTTTCTCTCTCTTTTCCCTTCTTGCATTCTGTTGCTTCACTAACCAACACTCATTGTGATTGGCTAACTACTACTACTTTTCAGCTGACTTTGCCTTTCTCCAATCAAGATGGGTGCCTTGGGGATGAGGCTCCCTGCTCTCCCTTCTCCCCTTCTCCCAGCTACAAGCTGTCTCCCTCTGGTTCCACACTACCCACCGTCAGCCTTGGAGCAATCGGCACAGGGCTCAACCCCCAAAACTTCGCTGCTAGACAAGTAAGGAGGCCTCTCAAATTTGTAACTGCTTGGCTGTGGCCTCGCCTTGGCCCTGGTCTGCAGTTTATTGCATTATTTGTCTGTCTTGGGAAATTTGTTGATTACTGAATGCACAGAATGATATTAAGTGTAGGTTTTAGATCCTTTCAGTCCATAGAACCCATCTCTCTTCATGTTTCTCAACACGGATTTTCTTTTAAATCTGTTTCTTCTGTCTTCTCATTTTTGGTTATAACTTCACACTTAAGTTAACTAACAGGAAAATGTTAAAGGTGAAATAGATACCTTTTTATAACCTAATTTAAGACTACATTTGCTATTTGCCACTTTTAACAGATTGAATGGCAAATCATACATTTGAGTCTTTTCAATTTAATAAACCTGCTAATTCAAAAATAGCGAAACTAGTATGGTTAAGCATTTGAGGGTTAGAGCGTTTTAAAAGCTAGTGTCTTTAAAATATAATAATTATCCAGAGAAGGGTAACTTTAATATTAGATAATGAAGCCTTGGGAAGAGTAGATGATACTCAAATGGGGCAGTGTTTCATTCAGCCTGGAACAGCCCTTTCTTAGGGCCAGGCTTGGCAGTCCTCCAAGGAAAGGTTGTGCAAGAGAAACAGAATTGGCAGGGCATAGAGTGATGCCTCCTCAATTTCCCAGGACAGAGGGGATGCAGCAGCTTCTGTCACACCGCAGTTGTTCTTTTGTAGTTTTTTCGGAGAATACAAGGAATTTTGGAGCCACAATGCTTTTGTTACAGTGATTCCAAAGATGATCATTTTTCTAGCCATATTTGTATGACCGCTTACTTGGCATGGTGGCCTTCACCTCAATATGTCTTGGGAGGACTTTGAATTATTAGTTGTGTCCGTTCTGTTTCTCCATGATAGCTTTCACATATAAATTAAAGGTTGATATAAAATAGCTCCTTTTACACTATACCCCTCAAGTTGCATGTAGGTCTTTGATACGCTTCCTAATTGTTGCCTTAGCACATTTTTAAAAATGGATTATACTACATCCATGTGTTCAGATTGGTACCTCTGGATTGAGAGTTTTAGGTAATTTTTTCTTCCCTTTTATATATCACTGTATTTCTTAAATGTTTCCACAAAGGAGGTGGACAGGTGTTACTTATATAAACAGAGAAGAAACAACTATATCAGTGTTTTTTGAGCTCTTTGTTTTGGGTTGAGGTACAGAAAATATAAAATAGTCATAACACTCTTGGTTAATGGTGATCGTAAATGTGGTTCCAGGATCACGTAATTAACAAATGCAGTTAGTACATAAACTTTAGTAGAGTAGACCAGCAAAGGAAAGATGTTTCTTCATTTTTTGATCTCTGGATTGCTGCAGAGTTCATTGTTAACCAGGTTGGCATGCGTGTTCTATCCAAACATGGTCATGGTTTTCTCAGACTGCTTTCACAGAGTCAATTTAATATACTTCATAATTAAAAATGAAAACTTAAGATTTTAATAATTCCAAATCAAAGAAAGTTTCAGTCAACTTGGTAACTTTGTTTTTAATTTACATACTTTTCTAAATTAAAATCTATAGTTGGAACAAATCTCACCTATAACTTATGAGAACTTAGGTCTTCATAAAAGCTTGATGTACAGCAGTACAGCTTTAGAAATAGATAAACCAGCATTATCATACCTATAAGCTTTTTATTACCATTTTACTAATTTCTAAATATAACCCCCAAAATGGCAGGATGTACCTGACTGCCACTAAAGACATCACTCTGATATAGCCAGGAAGCTGTATCAGAGCTAAGGTAATGGCCAACTTGTGATGCCAAAAGGCCATATTAAAATATAGGGAAGGTATTTTTTTCAGATAGATATGTGGAACAGATAGATGGGTAGAGCCTATTTACTGGGAATAAGAAAGTGGGGCCTGATTTTACAAAAAAATAAGAAAAACAAATTCTTTTTAATAGTTACCAAAGGAAAGTTGAAATTAAAAATTTCACCCACAAAGCAGTTTTGACCCATCAAAACATGAAGTCTGGCCAGGACTGTAACTACTAGAAACCCCACCATTCAAGGACCAGTCTGTGAATAGTTGATGTCTAATAACGAGGTCATTGCTCTGATAGTAAAGTATAAATGAGAAAGATCATTGAGAAATATTCTTACTGAAATAAATGTTTCCTGTTTTCCTGGGAATGAGCAGTAGGCAGACTGCCAACTAGAACCCCACAATCTCGGACAGGTTAGAACCAAGCCATTCACCTTCGAGTGATGGTTTGATTAGTAAGACGAGAGAAGTAGAGATATTGGTGTTTCTACAGTTAAAAGGTTTTTTCATGTTTAAACAATCCTCTGAGAGGCATAAAATTTATGGTGGATCTTTGATTTTTCTTTTATGAGACGCACAGATTTTAATTGCCATCTCTACTTTATGGTCATAGTCATTTTTATTTTCAGTACTTTTTAAGTTCATTAGTTTCCCTGTAGCAATCCCTTAATCTATTTTTGAATTCATTAAACCTTCAAAATATCTTTACTGTTCTCAAATTTAATGATGCTATTATGAAATTTTTCTCTAAAATTACCCATTATGATTTCAGGAATAAGATGATGATGGTGACTTCAGTCAGAGTATACATACTCAGTATAAGTAGTAGTGTAGCTGCCTTTGCTGAACATGTTCAGTGGGACATTTTCAAGTATATGAAATTTTGGGGTCACGAATGTTTGCAAATGATGTTCTCATCCTACAAACCAGGGCATTAACGAGTTCTGGGAATGCAAAGAGGGAAGTTATTAAGCTGGTGGTGGAAAGACAGAATGGAAAATACAACATGGTTTGATGATGGGTGCTGTCAAAGCGTTTTGAGAATGTAGAGGTGAACTCAGTTAATTTGAATGAGAAACAAGGAAGAGGGTTTAGGGGAAGACTTTGATGATGAAAGTGATCTCTGAGGGGGGTCTTAAAGAGGCCAAGTGAACATGATGTAGAAAAGAACCTCAGGTAGAGGGGACACTATGTGAAGTTATCACATGTGGTTTCTTTGCTGAAGGACTTTTCTTAGCTGGAAACAAGTCAGGAAGGAAGAGCCATCGTTAGCTCAGAGTAGCTCTCAATAGCTCTCTGATTGGAACAATCTAGAAGTGGCCCAGTGACTTGGTCCTCTAGGAAGTTAAACTTATTTTTATCGAGGCTGTGATAGTCATACATTTGAATGAGAAGGTGCAGGTGAGTAATACCTGTTTTGGTGTCCATGGAATGACTTTTCACTTTTTTTCTTTCTTCCTTTTTTATCTTGCAGTGTGATTGATTCAGGTTTCATAATCTAGCAAAGAAAGGGGACAAACAGACCCAGGACAGGGAAGTGTGTCCATAGTTAGGGTCCTCATGGGTCTAGGCTCACAACTGGATTGAACTAACCAATTCAGAGAAGTGATACTGTAGTGTCATGTTATAACTGATCTTGTTCATTAGCCTGTGATTTTACTCAGGTGCCTTTCAAGATGCATCTCAGATTATAAGGTTTGAGAATAAACTTGCTTTAAAAAAAAATAAAAAAGAGTGATTGAAATAAATGTTATATTTAAACCACAAAAAATAATTTAGCGCTTATTCTAACACTGGACTAAATTTAACCCTTTCCATTTATAAAGTTACACCAGATGGTGATAATATGCCCATGATTCGATTTGAATAATTTTCCTGAGTGTTCCAAGACGGGGAACTTCTCAGTTATAAAATTCTGTGATTCCATGGAACACAGTCTGCGGTTCCTCTGAGGGCTAGGAAATCCGAGCTGGTTCTTATTTGCATGTTTCTTACGTTAACAGAGAGCCTGACTGTTGTTGTTACATTCACAGGGTGGCAATCATGGCTTGTTTGGAAATAGCACAGCACAATCGAGAGGTATGCACACACCAGTGCAGCCGCTGAATTCTTCTCCTAATCTCCGGGCACAAGTGCCTCCCCAGTTTATTTCCCCCCAGGTAAGCAGTTTCATGTTTCCACCATTCCAAATCAAACAAGCAGGTGGTTGCCAGTTGCTAGTTGACTGGTTTTGTGGCCATGAAAGAAATAATAGTTACCTGTCTAAAACGTGAAAAATCTAGGACCGAGACTCTGAACAAAATTAATCACTTTTCATTTTTTTCTTGTACTGTGCATACAAAGCAGATGTTTGCATGAAAAGCATTATGATTCTTTTCCTTTTAAATCTCCTAATACTGTAGTTTTTTAATTGCGTATACTTGAAGACTTTTATAAAATATGTGTCAACATTCAGAAGTTGATTCTTCTTGAGGATTCACCATCAGATAAAGAGGAGAATTGCCAGGTTCTGGGTTATTCTGAGGAGAAATATGCTAAATGCTGACTGGATGGTCTAGTGGGTGTTATAGAACTAATCAAGTGGCAGAGACTCCTGACTAAAATCTAACTTCTGCAGCAGCTCTGTGTAGGCTTCGGTTCATTGAATACCACGGGAACCCCTTAGGGCCATTTGTTAGTGGGAAATGTACAGTTAGTTGTTTTGGGTAAAGATAAGAGAGTTGTGTCAGTCTACCGTACACTCAAGGAGCCCTGGTGGTTCAGTGGCTAAGCACTTGGCTGCTAACCGAAAGGTTGGTGATTAGAACCCACCAGCTGCTCCACAGGAGAAAGATGTGGCAGGCTGCTTCCATAAAGATTTACGATCTTGGAAACCCTGTGGGGCAGGTGTACTCTGTCACATAGGTCTCCATGAGTTGGAATAGACTCGATGGTACTCAGCAAAAACAATTGTGCACTCTCCCTCGTACCGCTTTGTGAGAAAACAGGTCTGAGGAGCTGAGTAAAAGCTGATAAGCCCGTGTAAGGACTCAGTATGTGACCTTAGTCTCCTTCAATTTTACTTTAATGAACTAAGATCAGGAATGTTCAGTCTGTCCTATAAAAGGGAATGGGGGCACTTAACTAGATCCAACCAGTAGGTTATGAAGGGTTGTTTTTTTGTTTTGTCTTTTTTGAAAGGCCTTTTAAGGCAGGGACTTAAAATATTTATTTGAAGTCATAATCTGTAGGTTTCAAATTCCATTTTTAACATTCTGAGTCTTGATCTTTCTTGGTAAAGGAAGAAATATTCGTCTGCCCCCCATCCTAACCCTACTGCCCCTACATGGTCCTGCCAGGGAGTCTAGGATGCTCCTTCTTGCCCTCCCTCTTAAGTTTCAGCCATCCTTCAAACCCCAGTTAGGAGTGTGTCCTCTGGACAAAGCTGCTCCTCACTTCCCTGGCACACCACAATGGCAGCGTCCTCTTTATTCTTGGAGCACTTTGCAACATCCCTGGTTTCAGATTGCCGAATGTCTGTATTGTGCCAGGTACCATGTTAGTGATGCACACATGAAGAAAACACCAGCTCTCTCTTCACAGCCTTCTGGAGTTGGCCAGGGAGGCGATAGAACACTCGGTGAATAATTAGAACACAATGATGAATATTATGGAGAAATGTTCAGCAAAGTTTGGGGAACTAGGCCAGGCTTTATACTAGCGGTGACATTTGAACTGGGTCTTGAAGAGAATGCATCACTTTGCTGAGCACAGCCACATTGCTGAGCAGGCGCACGTGTGCAAGGGGCCGTGACATCTGAGAGAACGTGACATGTTTGGGAAATTACAATTAGTTTGAATAAGTAGTTTGAGCTCTTTGAAGCTCACATGGTATCTAGAGTGAAATGGGAAAAAATTAGGCAGAAAATTTGAGACCAAATTTGGAAGTTTTGTTTGCCTTGCTCTAAGGATTTTAGACTTTGTGCTGTAGGCCATTGTTTGTCAGCATGGTCAATATCATTATCTGGGATGCTAGTTAAAAATGTGGCCCCCAGGTCTCTCCCAGTTTACTGAGACAGAATCTCAGGGTTGGGCCTAGATGCCCCAGGTGATGATACTGTGTACACACTAACATTTGGCTGTGGGGGCAGTGGTGGTTTGCATGAATTGTCACTTTGCATACAGGAGACCCATGTTCGATTCTTGGCCAATGCACCTCATGCACCGTCACCACTTGTCTGTCATTGGAGGCTTGCATGTTGCTATGATACTGAACCAGCTTCAACAGAGCTTCCAGACTAGGATGGATTAGGAAGAAAGGCCTGGTGATCGACTTCTAAAAATCAGCCAGTGAAAACCCTGTGGATCACCATGGTCTGATCCACAACCAATCAAGGGGATGGTACAGGACTGGGCGGGGTTTCGTTCTGTTGTGCATGTGGTTGCCATGAGTCAGGGACCAACTTGATGGCAGCTAACAACAACGTTTGACGACTACTGCTATTGATGGTACAGTGTCAAGCAAGGTTTTTCAGCTGAGTAGTGATGTAGGAGAATTTATGTTTTAGAAAGGTAACACTGGCGATAATAGAGAGGACATATCTGAGAGGCAGAACTAGTAGAGAAAAGGAGACCAATTGCAAGGGTAGTCCAGGAGTCCAGGTGAGGCAGTGGCAGTGGGTTAAACCCTCTTGTGAAGGTCACTGATGATCTTTGGGTTGTCAGATAACAGCAGTCTGTTCTCCAGTCTTATCTTACTGGATGAATCAGCAACATTTGACATGGTTGATCGCTCACTCTTCTTTGCAGCACTTTATTCATTTGGCTTTTGGACATCTATATTGGGTCTCCATCTGCCTCTCCTTCTCCATCTCTGTTACAAGTTCTACCTCACCTCCCCAACATTGAAACTCAACATGTCCCAGATCTCAATCCTTGAACCTCTTCTCTTTGCCATTGCTAGGTGTTCTCACCCAGTTTGATGACTTTAAATACTGACGGTTTCAGAATTATGTCTTTAGCCCAGACATCTGTTCTCAACTCCACAGACTACTGGGCATCTCTGCCCGGGTGGCTAATAGGCATCTCAAATTAACGTGTCCAAAGCAAAGCTTCTGATTCCACCCCACATCCCACTCCAGAAACACCGTCCTCCAAGTCAGTGGTACTGTCATTCTGTAAGTGCTTAGGCCAAGACCCTGGAACTAGTCCTGTCTCTTTTCACTCTCACAGTCCACATCCAATCCATCAACACATCCTCCCTTCAAAAATTTATCCAGAGCTTGACCATTTCTTAGCACTTCCACTAACATACCCCTGACCAAGCCACCATCAGTTCTTTCCTAGATTATTGCAGTGGCCTCCTGACTGGTCCTGGCCCTGCTTCATTCAACAGTTGCCTGTCTCGAGTCTGTTCTTCACCAAGCAGTCGGACTGGTACTCTAAAACTGTGCTGTCTAGTATGGTAGCCATTAGCCATGCGAGGCTATTGAGCACTTGAAATGTGGCTAGTGTGACTGAAGAACTGAATTTTAAATTTCATTTCATTTTAATTGATTTAAAATTAAATAGCTATACCCGATTAGTGACTACTGTATTGCACAGTGCAGATATAGACAATTTCTATCATCACAGAAAGTTCCGTTGGACAGCACTGCTCTAAAACATTTAGATCGTGTTACTTCTTTACTTAGAATCTTATCATGTCTCCCTCTCTTGCTGAGAATACAAAGCAAAGTCTTTACTGTGGTCTTTGAGGCTCTTTGTAAAATACCCAATCCCACCCAGTAGCCTGTCACTCTCCCATATGTTCTGTCCTCTCCAGCCAGCTGGTCCCACGCATAGCGCACATACTCCTGGAATCCTCTTCTCTCAGATTGCTACATAACTTAATCCTATTTCCTTCCCATCTCTGCTTCCATGCCACCTTATCAGAGAGGCCTTCCAGGGCCAAGCTATATAAACTGTTTCTCTGTCCACCATTGTTGCATTCCATCCCTTTACCCTCCTTTAGTTTTTCCTATGTTCACCTGTTCATTGTTTATCGCCCCACCCCCTTCACAATGGCAAGGTCGTCGTCTGCTTTGCTCACTACTGGATCCTGAGCACTTAGAACTATGCATGGAACATGTTTTGTACTTAGTAAATACATGTTGAGTCATGGGAAGATGGATTTCAGAATGAAAGTGCAATTAAATTAGTCTTAGAGACTTATGAGTCATAAATCTTTTTATGACCAAAAGTATTATATGCTTTACTTGGAAAAGTACTTGTGTTCCTCTGCATTTTTGAAATTTGTTTATTTAGCAAAATGCAGTTAACATTTATTTAATGCATAGCATGTATTTAATGTGTAATGACACAGGATGTTAAAGTGGTGGAATCTTAAGTTTTTTTTCTTGATATTTGCATATCTTAAAAATCAAAGCTGTAAAAGAAATAAATAACAATAAAGGTGTTGGGTATCTCTTAGGAAAAAAAAAAAAAGTACAGACAATATATTAAGCCACACTGAAAGTTTAAATGTTGTTAGGTGCCCTCGAGTCAGTTCCAACTCATAGCGACTCTGTGTACAGCAGAACGAAACACTGCCGGGTTCTGCGCGATCCTCACAATTGTTGCTGTGCTTGAACCCATTGTTGCAGCCACTGCATTCTCCATTTTTTTGAGGGTCTTCCTGTTTTTTCCTGACCCTCTACTTTGCTAAGCACGATGTCCTTCTCCAAGGACTGATCCCGCCTGATAACATGTCCAAAGTATGTGACGTGAAGTCTCGCCATCCTTGCCTCTAAGGAGCATTCTGGTTGTACTTTTTCCAAGACGGATTTGTTCCTTCTTTTGGCACTCCATGGTATATTCAGTATTCTTTGCCAGCATCATAATTCAAAGGCGTCAGTTCTTCTTCAGTCTTCCTTATTTGAATAGTGGAGAAAAATTCTTCCAGAAATCTCTCGCCCAGATAACGACGACAGGGATTACTTTACACATCCCCTATTCAGACTTTGTTGGTGTACAGACATGCTTTGCACGTCATCGCATTCATGGTAACTCTGTCCTGCTATTCTTTGTTACCATTCTGTCATAAGTGTTTCCGTTACTACATAGTTTTTGTGTTGACTGTTAGTGAAGGCATGAAGTTTTTCGGTGTTGACTGTTGTTAGTGAAGGCGTGAGGTTTCATC